AGTGTGGACAATTTCTGAACTGAAGCGCGCCATTTAAAACCACTTGTTAAATCTGTGTAACGGCATGAAAAAAATTTGTTACTGGACATTACATTCCTTTAAATTTCGTTTGGAAAAGAAAATGAAAAGTTTGAAAAAGCACGTATATACCAACTTTAAGCAAATAAATTTGGTTTACAAATAATTTCATAACCTTTAAGCAAATAATTTGTGTTTACAAATAATTTCATAAACCTTAACCCGTCTCTCCTTTGCCTTCACGCACCAGGGTAAATTCGTCTAATAAAACAGGCCATGGACTTGTATTCAGAAAATCACGCCGTGCACCCTCGGGCAAAAAAATAGGCAACATGCTTTACAGCGCTATCAGAATCCCACACTAGACAGCCACCTCAAATAACTTACCCCTAATCCAGCAATCTATACTCGTTCAGCCTCAGGGTATTAAACGCTGTACGGGAAGATCGTTCTACCATGCGTGCAAGCAAAAAATAATTTGCCCTCTATTTCAGTATTTGCCTTTAGGTTTTATTTCCTTTTTAGGGAAATGCGACATTTGCTCTACATCCGCCGACTAAATTCTTTACATTATTAATTAAGATAAAGTAAAAATAAAAATTAAAAACAAATTAAAAAACACCTTTAATTATTAAAAGCTGTTGTTTGTTAATGATTTTAAGATATCATAACTGCAGCAGACCAACTTTCACAAATATAGGTTTTCCCGGCCAATTTCCTGAAATGATCATTCACTTCTAAAATTCGGTCATTCATTTTCGTCTGAATATGACTGGACGTCTTTAATCCATTTCAATTCTGTCAACGAAAGTCAAAAAGTGCGGGGATATATAACCCCATCATCCCCCAGGGAATCAAGCCCAGCTTTCACTGATTTTCAGTCTAAACTCGATATTTTCAGTAATAATTTAAGTTAACTTCACTGATTTTCACATTCAGCTAGCTGACCCGCAATGTCTGGTCATGGTTTGACTGTTATCTATGTTAGTCAAATCTGACTTCATTTTAAGGTACAGTTGACCAAAAAATATCAATACATGTGTATTAATTTCACGCGTTGGTTTATAGTACATGGTATATAGTGTCTGGTAAAATTTAAAAAAAAAAAGTTCAAATGAAAGTTGTCTGGAATTTGGAGTTAAACTACGGCGATCTAATTGCAACCGCTTGAAACTTCCTGATAATAGAGATGACGGCTGTACGGCCCCTTATTAATAGAAAGTGGACTTCCGCGATCCGGCAAGAAGACTTTCAGTGTATCAGCCCTCTAGTGTTTCTTGTATCTACAGGAACCAGGAAGGCAGACAAGATCAAGGACAAGGACTGGGAATTTGATTAAGGGGAGCAAGTGCAATAGTACACCTCCCCCCCCCTCCCCCGAGGAAAAAAAACCTACAAAGTATGGGTCAACAGCTGTGAGGTGGTCAACCGCTGTGGTCAACCACATTTTTACTACACCTGTGAAATTTGACATTTTGCTGGATAAAGGGATATTACGGCCTGGAATGCGCCCAATTGGGCTACAAAACGCGTTTTTGAACGAAAGGATATTAAATAGAAAGAGCATTTAAAATTAGAATATAAACTTTCACTCATTCATCCTTTAAAAACTGGGCGTTTTTGTGTTATTCTCGCGAGGACCATGCAAGAACGAATTTCGGGGGTCACATATTTTTGTCCCCGAAAAACTGAGCTGTTGAGTCTTAGTTGTGATTCCAGCCGCACAGTGATTTGCATTTTGCGGACGTCTAAGAAACAACATGTGTGCATTTGTGCTGTGTGTGTGATTTATGTGACACAACGTGTATCAATCATTGAATGAAAACGACAGGAAAAAACGTACTCCGTCGTGTCCCGATGCGTAAAATGCGTACTCCGTCGTGTCTGATGTAAACAACCTGTTTTTTTTCGTCTTTTCTGTGACAATTTTGCAGAGGTTGCACACTCTATTCCTAAGTTATGACTATTTCGATAAGAAGACCACAAAATTCAGCCGTTCACCACTGATCATTTACCGCTCTACGAACTGAGGAACACCCACTTATGAATACAATGAAACATGGACGCTTTCCCACTTTCATGAATGAATGAAAACTTGCAAAAGGAAAACAGATAAAAATCGCCATCAATATTTTAGAAAAAGAGTGGACTTGTTCTTCATATTCAAAACGTTAAATCCGACAGAAAAAAATTTATGTTTCAATCTTGATTGAAATGATTAACATCTCATTTGTATTTGAATGTTTGTGTGTAATCTGTAATTCTCACTCAGCTCAATAGTTTCTAATGAAATTCCATGGACAGCCATATATATATAAAAAAAAATAAGATCTTTTATTAGTAAAACATGCATAACATCTGATAGCATGGATCAATTTCAGTAATTCTTTATTTTTCTTTCAGATGAGTGGAAGAAAATGCTTTTTAAGGCATGCTTCATTGGTGTATCAAATTTGATTGCATTTTAAGACATAAAAATCATTACTCCGGGTCACTTTCTTTTTGACTCACCCCGTACAGTTCATGCAAAATCTAAGTAATCATATCATGATTTGTTTGATTGCGTACTTCAATCCACCATCAGCAAGGAAATTCAGACAAAATCTCGCAGGAAGTGTCTGCTTACTGAGTAATATTGGTGTTGGTGAGAGAGTTTATTTAACAACTTATTTATGATTTTGATGCGTGCTTACAACACGCCCACACGGAATTTAGTACTGTCTTAAATATGAGATTCTCACACTCAAAAAGACACGAATCGTGTATTATTTTATGAACGCTGAAGTACAAAATATAGCGTTACATTTCGGTTGTAACCATGTAAACAGACAAACAAAACCTAAAATTTACTGCAATAACAAACCATTTGCGCTTTTCAACTACAACTAGAAAACTAGAGGTGGTTGTATTAAACTTAACAACCACAAAGCTGAGCTGTTCCCAAACTTAGATTTTCTGACGGATGGTACAACATGATCTGACGATTTATAAAAAAAAATGTCACTTGTAAAATGAATATTTATAAACTGTAATAGTTGCACTTCCAGTAACACCGGAAGTAAGGGTCACATGACCTTGACACTCCAGGAGGTGCATTTTGAGGCCCAAATGAGGAAATGTGCAAAGAACTGAAATCACAACTTATCGTATTGTTGAGATATGGTGGCCGCGAAATTCAACTGCAACTAGAAAATAAACCGCACTAATACCCTTATACCTCACCGGTAAACCCTTCCACGTACAATTTCAAGACGTAAAGCACATCGTGATCTACTCTGGCATGGCCTGATTTCAAGAGGTCTGGTGTATAAATTTAGAATGATGTATGCCTCCAAACATCCAAAATGCCATTCATAATTGCGGGTCATTACCAGAGACCTATAAACCATCCATAACTGACGTAGAAGTGCAATATCGCACGATACCTCTAACCCAGACAGACCTGCATGGCAAAATGATAATTACAAACAGATGATTTTGATGGAGCGGGGGAGGGGGTTGAAACATTCATGAAAAAAATGTCACCACAAGGCAACGCCGCATTCCAGTATATACGAAGAGCACAGGTATGGATCACTGCAAGTAAGCCTTCATATGTCACTGTATAGATGCGATCACTTTATTATTAACTATAGGCGTTGCGTTAAATTATTGACGTATGACACATGATCTGGTTCGGCTTCAGGAGCACACAAGATACAATTTCATCAAATTTCTTATGAGCATGCATAATAAAGGTACTAATCGTCAATGATTTTTATGCGTTATGCAAACTATTTTTAAAGCAGCACAAGCCATACATTAAAATATATCGTCATCGTCACTCATATCACCAGCATTTTCAATAATTCCCCATCACCTCTTTATACCGTTTTTGTCCCGTCAATAATACACCGTACACGGTCAATGATCAGGACCTATTAATCACAAGTTCAACGACCATCGAGTTTGGGTATGACAATGACACAAACTATCAACAATAAAAAAAGAAAAGAAAAGTATTTTCATCATAAATCAGTGAATCATCAACCGCACCGTTATCGACGTGCTCTTTAATCTAAGCGTTTCGGTAAGAGTTATCACCACGACTTTCTGAATCGTGAGGAAGATGATGATGATATTTTGTGATGATAATGATCCTCACAAAAGAGATGAGCGGGTTTACAATGAACATTTATCATCTCAATAATGTTCATTATCATTGTCAGACCATCGCCCGGTTATCATCTTCACATTAGCTTTCTGTTAGTTGCAAAGTGACATGATGTGTGTGAGCATCTCTGATATTTTTTTTAATATGTGGCTCGCTCCATTTCATAAAAAAAAACATCTTAGGGACAAAATACAAGTCATTGACTGGTAACTGTGCAAATTTCACACAGAGTTTGCACACTATTTTCCTAAATTATGACTATTTTGGTAAGAAGACCACAAAATTCAGCTGTCCACCACTGATCATTTCCCGCTCTGCGAACTGATGAATACCCATTAAATAATTTACAATGAAACATTGACGTTTTTCCACTTTCATGAATGAATGAAAACTTGGAAAGGGAAACAGACAAAAATCACCACCGATATTTCAGGGGAAAAAAGTTGACTTGTTCCTCATATTCAAAACGTGAAATCTGACAGTAAAGATAATGTTTCAGTTTGAAATGATTACAGATTATCGTGCAACGACTCCCTGTACTGTGTATGTACTATTGCCACAACTAATGTGCTTAGGTTACATTGTCGTTATCGTAAAGAGTATTATCTAAACTCGAGTGTCTACCAATTCAATTAGCATTCCATTAGTTACTCATTGAGAAGTTCAGTGCATTCTGACAATAGCATACATGTATTTTATTCAACATGTTCGAAGTGCTCACAGACGAACAATGCGGGTAGTATACAAGAACACTCAATGTATCTGAACGTTTGCCGTTTGTTTTGCACAGGATACATCGCGGCAAAATGGGAAATAATGAATAACTTACTCTGACAATCTGTAATCCTTGCCACTCCTACGAGGAAAATCAGCGGATGCAGCACTCTCAGCTCCATGACGGCCAACAACAAAACGCTGGGAACTTGAGTTCAACGTCGAACTAGTCCAGATCCAACGCGGTGTAGACCGTGGGAGTAGGTAGACCTTCACTTGGCACACACTCGTCACCCGTCAATGGTATTGCGCTGCAGGTACCACACACTTACTGCATGCACTGTCCTCAACCCGGGTGCGAGTTCACCTCTGCAGAAGCAATTTACATCAACAGCTGCTTTACAAATGCATGACTGGCACCAGGCAGATGATATTTATAAAACGTAGCAAATTGTTGCCAACATGTCCCACATGACAAGAGCAGTTTTCCATTAGCCAACTCGCGGTCATGGTCAGAGCAATCTATACTCATTCAACCGTGACAAAAAAATCATTCAGTTTATTCTTATAGGCCAAGTATGCCTTCCACTCCAGTTTGCATGCATTCCTTATGACGCAGCAACGCTAAATAGGATGGGCACGTCTCTAGGAAGCGCGCGCCCACACGGCTGAACCTCTTTCCAGCTAGCTCTGCACGGCAAATGCACCGTTTTAAATTTCCGAGGCTGGTAATGACCGATGTCCCACGAGGTGCCCTTTCTGAACTAGATTTATGAATGCCTGCGAGTTGCCGGGGCCGTTACCGGTCGTCACATACAGCACAGAGCAAATGCTGCAAGGCTCATTTGCCATACGCTGATTTTTTATTCAGGGGCAGTGACTGCATGTGTCATCATTATCAACATAGGCCGTGCATGCATGTGTACATGTACATGTACGTACGTCTGCGATGCCTCTTGTGCTCCGCCAGCTGCACGGCGCTAGGGTTCGACGGTTAATGTTTAAAAAGATACCTGGAATTCTCCAGGCATATTCGCGCACAGATTTGACAGCTAAGTGATTTATGTCCTTTCCTAATTCGCAGGATGTATTACGCATTATACATCAGGGCTTTTCCCAGCTCGTAGAAAACAAAATTCAATGCAGGCCTTATTTACCAATCTTTGCCTGCGATTTTTCAATTAACTTTTTTTTTGCGTTTGATACATATAGCTTGCGAGTATGGGCAGCCAAAAGGGCCAACATTAAAATAATCTGTATCATATACATTAAGAAGCCTACAAAGGACAACAAAAACAACAGCCAAAGAAAAACAAACATAAACAAAATACAAAACACCAACAATTAGAGAACGAAATGATCAATGGAAAGACAAATACAAATGGCAAGAGGACAAATTTATAGAATGACAAAGTCAAAATCAAACAAAGGACAAGGTGACAAAGGGACAACAAACTTATATTAGTTATTAGGCCAAAAAAAAAAGTCTCCGATTTCTGGTATGGAGCTTGCCCAAAAAGTGGTGCGGCGACGCGGCTTTTCTTTTTTTTTACCTGTTTTTTGTTGCTTCTTAATGTCAGCGGATGACTGCAAAATGGTGCCCGACTAAACTTAGTGCAAATATATGGGAGTCCAGAGAGGCCACATAAAGCTTATTCTCGATCATAACCCCATCTAAAAACACGTTAAAATTTTGCAGCAGCAGGATTCCAGTCAAACCAGTGAGTTTGGTGGTTTTGAGACATCATCTTTCATTGAAAAAAAAACACCACTTTTTCATTTTGCCGACGCGCATGGCTACGGCGACGCGACGCGCGCGTACACCAGAAACCGGAGACTTATTTTTTTGGCCTTATAGAAAGACAACTCAAAATCAAATAAAGGACGAAACGGCAAGAAGACAAAGTTACAAAAAGACAAAGTTTGAATCAAATACGAGGACATCAGATTGATTGCCAACTCGTGGAATTGCAACACACACAATCATTTGAAAATATTATTATGGACCAGATAAAACTAATTCAATTGTGCTTGTCATATCAACAAAATGATTTTCTATCAGACACTGTTCATTGCCGAATATATTATTCATCGAGGGGCCCTGGAAGGAAAGACAAATCACGACAGTAGGGTTGAAACCCAACCATAACAAACCCTCGGAATGTGTTTTCGTTTTTCCAATGAGTTGTTTGTTTTTGGTGGGGGCAGGTCCACGGGCACGGCATCGCATCCTTGATGAATGTGTTAGGTTGGCCTGTGATGGGCGAAGGTCATCACCGGCGAAGGCTGACAGATCACATCCCCGACTCTCTGACCAAGTGTGGAGTCAGGGAAGCGTGTTGACTTGGGACCGATCGACGGAACCTGAGATCTCTCTTACGCGGACGGGAGCATGTCGACGGCAATGCGCCCTTTTGGGCTCTAAACGTAAAACGCATTTCTTAGGACATGTGGAAAGATTATTCAAAAGTAGGATATGCACGTTCACGACTTCACGTGAACTACGTCTTCAAATCTTAGAGTTTGCGTGTTCATGTGATAGATCTTAATGAAGGAATCCTATAGGTATACAACATTTTGGTCCTCAAAAAAATGATGGTTGGAGCACTGAAGCAGTTATTCCAGTCACACATAGTGTTTCATTTTCCAAAACGCTACTCAGAAAGCGCTGAGGTCTCTATAAAAAAAAATTGTGAGGTCCTCAACAAACCTCACTGACATTTCATCAAACGTATCAGCTTTTGTCTGTCTTCGGAAGAGTTTATGAGCGACGTATCCGCTCCGCTCACAAGTACCCCCTCACCGGCAAAGAAAGTACAGTTGGGGGCGACCGACCCATCTTGCCTGACTGCAAGTTTGCCTCACATTGTACAAATCCCACGGTGTACGTGCGTCACACACAAGGAACAACCAGCTAAATGTCCCGCCCAATGGACGTCGTTGCTAGGTAAAAGGGTGCCCTCTTCGTTAGCGCACGGAGCCCATTGTTCGATGGCTTCAAGTTTATTCATTACTTGAAACACGTATACTGTCCTATAGGCAAAGGAAAATAAACTTCGTCACGTTAAATGTAAACAAACGGGCTTTTTTAACCATTCCTCTGTAAATGTGAGATATTGTGTTGATTTGAATTGATCCACAAACTTGAACTGTGGCCTTGCCTATCCATGGCCTATCGGAACACTCATTTTTTTTGGCAATTAGTGGAAGACAGCCTACACCTGACGGGGAGTAAAGCAGCCGGGGCATGGCACACGGTATAGGCCGTGTGTGAATATGCACACATCAGGAAACTTCCGTCCAAACATTTTACGCGCGCTTAGCGTTGAGTGAGTGTGACGCTGATGAGCGGCGACAGTTGCCGGTCATCTTGCATAACGTCTTCCTGGTATTTAACTCAACAGTGTGGATGATAAGGTGTTGACAGGGTTGTCTTATTTTGGCATTATGAATGAAGACGTTGAAGCAGTAAACAAGGTGTTTCAAAATCAATAAGCCTGAAGCAATTAAACAGCTTGCAAGTATGGAGTCATATTGGAGTGCCGCGACAAAATGACTGCATTAATACGCGATTTTTGAGTTTCAAACGGAAAAAAACAATTTAATAATTTTCAGAGGGGTCTAAAAATGCGACGCCGATAGCACGCACATATGGAACACCATCCTTTTCGTCAATTTTCATTTCCTCCTTCTGGATATACCGTCAAGCGCTACAGAAAATACCACGTGACTATGACAATACTGCACATAGCTTGCCTCCGCTTACAAAATTGTCATAGACAACTTTACAAATTGTTAGCAAACAATTTTTAGAGTGCATTTACGGACGACAGCATGGCATTTGCTCAAGTTTTGTAAAATATTTTGGTCAGTTTTTCAGCGACCGACCGATTGACACCAAAGTGACTTGTAGAAGCTCCTGCCAGAATTTAAAAAAAAATGCTGGGTAAAACACTTTTGGACATTTATAATTGCCCATAACGTCAGTATTATAATACCTTGGGTGGTTTTTTTTTCAGGTAAAATGGACAAGTTTTGAGGAAAATTTCACCAAGAGTGCATGCAGTTGGTATACCGGTATTTATTACCAACTTATTTGCCTAAGTATGGAGAGCGTACATACACAGTTTTTGGACTTGAGTTTTGAACCGAAAATTTACTTTTAATTTGGTAATTTTCGATGCTCTCTAAATTCCAAAGAGTGAAAATTCACTCCATTCGAGTGAAGATTGACTCTCACAGTAGGAAACTAGGGACTAGACGTTTTAGAGTGAAATGTCTTCAATCGTAAAGATAGAGTTTTCACTCAAGCTTCGACTGAAGTGGTTCTTTTTTCAGACTATTTCAATCGAACATGAGAGTGATTTTCACCCTAAAACGTCTAGTCCCTAATTTCACTATTTGGAATTTAGAGTGGGCCGAAAGGTTCCGATGTACAAAGTTAAAATAAAAGATCAAGCCGCAGAATCATAACTTTATTACACAAAACACACAGAGTGCAATTACGAATAATATTTTTTCAATTGATTCTGACGAAAAAGAAACTACCAAACCATGACGTGACACATGAAAAAGGCATTTGTGTCACCTTGTGCATTGTTTCATTTCCACGAATTGTTTATCATGAAACTCATATTCCCCAGCCAATAGAAGTTTAATGATTTATCCTACCTAAGGGTGAAGTCGTTATAACATCGAGTTGGTGACAATGGCCTCCATCAGTAACATAAATATAATCATGTGCGCATGACTGAACCGCACTATTGGTTACCATGGCTTTTGACCTCCATAAAAAGGCCGACCTGATTGACTCATTGGCTCACAGCTCCCCTAGCACACGCTATGAATTAGGCGTTTTCATGCGTCTCATGCAGGTTCCAATTTTTCAATGTTGTTGCCGGCAATTACCGGTTAAATTAGCTGTCAATTGCGGTCGCTAGTTATTAAATTTCCACTTTTGATTTAAACTTCAAGTTCATTGCTTAGGCCTAGTAAATGTATCTTGTTATAAATTGTGTTTATGTGGTTAAAGTTGCGTTCCCCGAACTTCCCCTAAGGCCTTCCCCGTGCTACGCTCTTCCACAAATTAGTTTTTTTTTCTATTAATCAATTTTCAATCTGTATTTTATTCCAACAAGAAAACCTAGCTCCTTTTTCCTATATTGGCAGCCAATAACTCGATTTTTTGTGTGAAGAAATGATTCAATATTAAATTTTGGTGAATTGTTTTGCTCGATGTCTCATTCAAAAGTGAAAAACTTTTATATTGCCAGGGAAATATTGAAAACTAAATCGATTTTTTTATGTGAAAATCGAAAATAGCGCAGGGGACACAATCTTCAACTAACCACCATTTGCAAGGAATTTGC